AGTGCCATATATAAATTTAGCAATACAATTCTCATCTGCACAAGAAAATCTCAGTAAAGACGGATCAGAACTTCTGGGCCATGGCATGTACACCTGTAACATGATGGTCAACTAAATAACTCTAAAAGTATAAAAGTAAAACAGCATTTTCCAAATACTAAGGATCACCCCAGGGCCTCTCCGTGTTAGGCAGGAACTCTACTACTGGGCTATATTCCCATGCTTTTTTATTTTATTCTGAGGTAAGGTCTAAATTGCCCCTGGTCATTTTGAATGTGCAATACTCCTGCCTCAGCTAGGATTAAGGATTATAGGTGTGTGCCACCATCTAGGGTATCTAAGTTGTCCCTATAGTAATAGAACCATACTGTATTGCATTTGGGTTTTTAGGCTAGTCAACTATGTATCATAACATTGTATCTCTAATTTAAAATGATTTAATACATTTCCTATAATTTTATGAAAATTAAGGTTTCCTTTTTTACCTATTTTCGTTCTTGTTTTTTTTGAGACCGTGTCTTGCTATGCAATTCAGGCTGTCCTTGAGCTCATTTTGTAGCCCAGGCTGATCTCACACTCACAATGATCCTTCTGCCTCAGCCTCCCGAGTACTGGGGTTACAGGCATGCACCACCATGCACAGCCTCCCTCTTTTTACCTTTAAAGTCAGTTTTGTCTTTCACTAAAGTCATAATGGTTTTTATAAGACTTAACTTTCTTCTTCCTCTTTTTTTTTTTTGGTATCAGGGATCAAACTCAGGACCTTGTGCTTGCCAGGCAGGCACTTACTCCACTGTGCTACATCCCTGGTCCTACCTATAAGACTTAACTAAAACACAAAATAAAACTATTTCATTGAGTTTGCTAACATAAGCCACTAAGTCTTTTAACTGACAGAGCCCCTGCAGCACAGCGCTGGTAGGATAGCCAGTTGTCTTTTTCTACGTTCTCAAAGGCAAAATTGGCAAACTGTATTATCCCACCACATGTGGTCCTTGGCAAAGCACAAAGTGAGGGCTACAGGCAAAATCAGGTCAAGTTCCCCTTCAAATGCTCCAGCTCCCAGCACTGAGACTAAAATGAAGAATAATCTTTATTGTGTGTTAAAAATAGATACACACACAAAAAAAAAGAAATAGAAAAGAAAGCACCCTATATCGAATTATACTTCCTAAGAAATTTCTATTTTTAACTTTTCTACATGCTTTTTATCATTAAGCAAGTGAGCAAGTAGGCACTGAAATTTTCCGAACTATAGACTGTGATCATTAGCGCTCTCTCTCTCTCTTAAAACAGAAAAATTACTGCAGTGGGTCACTACCAAGATATTTTAAAAAGTAATGGATTAGTGTATAAAATATTAGAGCTGAATCACACAAAATAAGGCTCAGGATTGCTTTATGAAACTTTTGTGTCAATTATAGAAACAGTTTCTATATTTACAACCATCTATATGGCTGTATATTTACAGATACTAGCAAATTACGTATGCAGTCATAAAAACATCTGAAGGGCTGGGAACGCAGCTCCATGGCAGGGAGCTTGTCTAGTCTGTGGGAGGCTCTGGTTTGATCCCTACCCACCTATGTGCAACTATCTGTTACTTGCCTGCAACCAAGAATTTAAAAACTCTAGGTTCACCATACTGGCCTAGTTTTATGGTATGATTATGAAAATCAATGCATTTGACAACTCTTACTAGAACAATTATTTTATTACTGCAGCTTTCAAACTTATTTAAATATAAGATTAGTGCACTGGGGAAGAAAAAGGGACACAGAAAAAAACATCCAAATGTTCTGCTACACAGCGGGGAAATAAGATTGTCTCTCTTACACTCCAGAAGTCAAACAAACTCACAGATGGATTTGATGTCCTGAGATCTCGTAGCCCGCTGAATTCCCATCCATGTACACCATTCACAGTATCTGGTCTCAGATTTCCCTCCCCTATTAGGACCTGTGATCAGATACTCTTGCAACATTCTTCCTCTCTCTGCTTTGTCTTCTTTTTTTTTTTTTTTTTTTTTTTTTTTTAAACAATGTTTTTTTTTTTAATATTTATTTATTTTTATTTATTACATTTATTTATTGTGTGTGTGTGGCCAGCTCAGCCCACCAGGGGGCGGGTCTGGCTGGCATGTGGTGCTGGGGATCGAACCGCGGTCCCTGTGCTTTGCCAAGTTTGTTTCAAGTAGGTGCTTTAGACCACTGAGCCATCTCTCCAGCCCCTGCTTTGTCTTCTTTATCCACTAAATGCTTCACCACCCTCAGGTTTATCAATAGCTTTTATCTCCCTCCTTTTTTCCCCCCACTCTTTAGCAACTTAAATTCAAACTAATATTATCTTGCTGTGTACCGCATCATTTTTCAGATGCAGTAGGGCAAGAGATAGCATATTAACATGTCTGAGGTGTTTCAGCTGGTTAAACAGCTGAGATGGGACTTATACACAGGCAGTTTAGCTCCACAGTCTCTGCTACATGGCTTTATTCTTAGCATTAAATAAATACTTAGCAGATGAAGGAAAAAAAGGAAAGATGGTAACAATATATAGTAGGCACAATCAGTAAGATCTTCTGATTCTGAAGATCAACTCTACCAGCTACATGACAGCAGGCAAGCTGCTATTTCCTAGGCGTGTAAAATGGGCATAAATGTACTGCTGTAATATGCTAGCATGTGACTGTGTCTGGCAAGTAGCAACTGCTAAGTACGGAATTCTACTGCAGCTATAAGAATATATAATTTGCCTGTTTTTCTTAAGAGTTACCTATTATTAACTGTATATGGCAGAAATCTCCTACCAAATTATTTTTTTATCACACTTGCTGAGTGTTAGAAAGAGTACATTTATGTTAGCATAAAAAAAAAAAAAATGGAGCTGTCTTTATTTTGCACCTTACGGTTCCACTTTAAATTCAGGTTTCTTGGCCTGGGAATTACTGATACTTTGGGCTGGGTAAATTTATTCTGGGGGTGGCTGTCTTTAGCAGGCAGTGTTTAGCAGCACCCTAGCAGCCCAACACTAATAGCATACCAATAGTATTCTCTGTGGATATGACAACCCAAATGTTTCCAGATATTTTCTTTTTTGGCGGAACCGGGGATTGAACTCAGATCCTTGTGTTTGCCAGTCAAGTGCTTATCCTACTAAGCCATCTCCCCAGCCCTTCCAGATATTTTCTAATAGCACCCTGGAGGAGAACCACCACTTTACTTAATAGTTCTGGGCTATATTGCCTTAAGATACTACAGTTAAACACTTGTAAAACACTTCCATGTATAGAATGATCATTAAGTAGAACATAATCTTTGTTTCTTTATTTGTATTTCAGGGAAGGGTCTACAGGGTGTTCAGGGTCTCACTACTAGATTGGACTCCTAGTGATCCGCCTGTTTACAGCCTCCCAAGAGCCGGGATTACAGGTACACACCACCACACTCAGTCTCAACTGCCATCTCAGCGTACCCCAGGGGTGGGGCCAGCAGGGCAGGCTGGGGGATCAAACCCCTGGCCCCTGTGCCTGCTTGCAGGTGCCTTAATCCGCTGAGCTATTTGGCCGGCCCAGAACATAATCTTTAAATACCAAAAGATTCTATTTTTAAATTCTAAAAGATACAAAAATATGTATCCTCTTTATTTTATTTTGACATCAGTTATTTTTATTTTAAAGAAAAAAAAATAAAAACAATGGTACAAAATCTCAAAACAAGATTTTA